TGCCTCAGCCTCCCAAGTAGCTGGGACTACAGGAGCCCGCCACAACGCCCGGCTATTTTTTGGTTGCAGCCATCATTGTTGGTTTGGCAGGCCCGGGTTGGATTTGAACCCGCCACCTTAGGTGTATATGGCTGGCGCCTTATCCACTTGAGCCACAGGCGCTGAGCCAAGAGTGGAGGTTTTTGAAATGGGATTTTGAAGCAGGATTACCAGTAAAAGGTTTGCATTTATAACTTCTCTAAGACTGCAATTCAAACTAAGAGCTGTGGAATTTCCTCTCAATTGAACTGTGTGAGAAGGATCTGAGGCTCCTAGATCCTCCATATCTGTCTGCTGTGGGATAGGCACCTTTTCCAGTTGTCAAACAAAACCCTTGGCTCAGTGCCTATGCCTCAAGCGGCTAAGGTGCCAGCCACATACACCTGAGCTGGTGGGTTTAAATCCAGCCCGGGCCCACCAAACAACAATGATGGCTGCATCCAAAAAATAGCTAGGTGTTGTGGCAGACACCAGTAGTCCCAGCTACTTGGGAGGCTGAGGCAGGAGACTTGCTTGAGCCCAAGAAGTGGAGGTTGCTGTGAGCTGTGATGCCATGGCGCTCTATCCAGGGCAATAGCTTGAGGCTCTGTCTCAAAAAAAAAGCACAAAAAAACCCTCCTTGCTCCACATCTAGGTTGAGATGATCTCTGGAGTATGTGGGGTAAATGCCCAATATGCCAAGTCACTGAGCAAAGATTCCGGAGACATGGAGTGCTGCTGTTACCATCCCCTGGGAAAACCCAAGCTTGCAGCTCAACACATGCATGCTGCCTGCCTTCTTTCTGCCTCTGTGGCTATAAACACACCATTTGCCCAACATCATCTAGGTCCACCAGGTCCTGTACCCTTGCATGAAACCTAAGTGCAGGGCAGCCAAGGGGAGAGAATGGTCAATGGCTGAGGGCCTGGGACATCTTGTCTGTACCTGATTCTTCCCTACCCAGCCTGAGTGAGGGTGAGAAAGCCATCTGGGCAGGAAATAGTACTAGTGAGCCAGTTCTATGGGCCCCTCCCTGCCTCGCCTCTGATGCTATCTTCCTTTTCTCCTCCCACCAGAACCTGGGCTTCTCAGAAGAAGCAGAGCCAGCTTTAAGAAGGGTGGGGATGGAGGGAGGGTAAGCCCAAGGGTGTGTTCTGGAATGTGCTTCAGATGGGCATGGGGGACCCACCTGTTCTGGAAAGGGGTTGACAACCTTTCCTTGGGTCCCAGACTACTTCCCAGACAGGAAGATGCAAGATGTTCTGAGACCTGCAGGCCCCAACCTGTGTGGAGAGATAGCATCAGCTGGTGGTGAAGGAATGTGGGGTGGAAGGGTTGCAGGGTTAGGCTAAGGGGAGGAATGGATGGTGGTCTTAGGTACCTACCTAGAGAAGAAAAGATGTTTCCTTAGCAAGGCTGCAGGGAATAAACGTTGAGGTTAGGTGCAAAAAACGTAGTTTTTCCTTTTCCTCCTCTCATCATCTTAAGAGTGAAGACAGTCTGTTACAGTAACTCTACTTCCTCTTTCTGCCCTGTTGAGCTGAACCTAGATATATTTTATAGTAATTTGCAGACTTTCTGTCTCCTATCGTACTGTGATCTTCTTGAGGGGAGGAGGAAACTGTTTTACCTTTGTCTCCCCTGTATATACACACAAGTTAATGCTTTGCCCGTGGCTGTGCTTGCTTGGTACATATCTGGAAAGGAGACAGGCTAGTTCACACCCAGCTTTTCAATAACTGCCCATTTGGGAAGTCTATTAGACTAGAATCTAGGGCCTACTTAATGATTTATTGTTTTGGATGATAGTAATTGTATTATTTACTGTTGGGACTATGAGGGGGCCTCACACTCCTAAGTGCTATGGAAATGGGAAGGGGGAAGACAGAATAATGAGGTTCCTTTAGCTTTTACTTTTTTTTTTTTTGGCCGGGGCCGAGTTTGAACCTGCCACCTCGGGTATATGGGACCGGCGCCCTACTCTTTGAGCCACAGGTGCCGCCTGCTTTTACTTTTCTGAGCTTGCTTCAAAGGAGCTGGTGGTAGATAGAATGAAGGTAGTTCTTCCCCACTGGACTCACAGTGTGTTAAGAGCTGGAAAGGATCTTAGGGATTATCCATTTGGCCTGAAATATACTTTTTTACCAATCACCTATTATATGCCATGCATTGTATTGCTAGGTACTGGTGTAATTTTTTTTACCCAAGAGGAATTCACTGAAAGTAAATAACTTGCCTAAGGGCATGAGGCAAGTGAGTGGCAAAATTAAGACTAAACCCTGCCTCTTGCTGCCAACCCATTGCCCACTCCATGACACATACTGCCCATGTCCCTTGTGACTTCACCTACCTGCTCTTTAGTCTCTAGTCCCGCTCCCCCATCTCAACCTCTGTCCCTGGAGAAGGGCAAGAGAATGGGAGCATTTGACCCTCTGGCTCACTTTTGGTTCAACCAGTGTACACCCCATATAAAACACTGCTTGTGATGCTCCAGAGACATGGTATGGGGAAGTGGCCGAGAGTGTGGATATAGAGCTTGACTGCCTGGTTCAAATCTGGCTCCACCACTCTGTGCCTCAGTTTCCTCATGTGTAAAATGGGAAGGGACGATAACATAGTTCCAATCCCTTCGGGCTCTTATGAAGATTAAAAGCATTATTATACTTAAGTGCTTAGAATGGTCCTTGGCTTGAAGTATAAGCACTATGTAAATGTTTGCTTTTATATTTTACTTTTTAACTTTTTGATCCAGCTGATTCTATCTGGATTTGGGTGTGAGATTGAGTAAATGGGGCTGTCATAGAGCATAACACTTTCCAATGCATCTCAGTGATTGGGGGATTCCCAGCAGTGTTTATCTTCTGTCCTGGCCCAGATGGAAGTGTCAAGCTGAGATGCTTTCTACTTTGGGGTATGTGAGCAGCTGAGTTGGGTGTCAGTATGTTCCACTTGAACTCATTTCCTCTTCTTCAAGTGGGAAGGTCAGCTTGGGGTCAGGCTGGATAACACACTACCATCTTTCACTAAGAGGCTTATGATTTTCTGAATTTCCATCTGGCTGGACACATGATTATTTGGTCTGGAGGTTTTAAGTGATCCTAAGAAGAAAAAAGAAACATCCCAAAGAATCAGGAGCCAATGGACAGGAGGTAGAAGGATTGGGGCAAGTGGACAGCACTGGCTTCTAAAGTCTGGAGGATGACCTCTTCCTGGAAATAAAGTCCCTGGCCTGGGAGGGAAAGGCTGTTCTCAGTAATGGTCAACTAGGTATAGGTTCAACTTCCCATTGTTCTCCTAACCCCAATCCCGGTGCCCTCCCTGTTGTCCCCACCCCTTTTATTTTTGTTTTTGAAACAGAGCTTCAGTTTGTCACCCTTCGTAGAGTGCCATGGTGTCACAGCTTACAGCAACCTCAAACTCTTAGGTTCAAGTGATTCTCTTGCCTCACCCTCGGGAGGAACTGGGACTATAGGCCCCACCACAATGCCCAGCTATTTTTAGAGATGGGGTCTCACTCTAGCTCCGGCTGGTCTGGAACTCAAGAGCTCAGGTGATCTACCCACCTCAGTTTTCCAGAGTGTTGGGATAACAGGTGTGAGCCACTGCACCTGGCCCTAAAACACAAGTTTATCATGCTTAGGACACATCTGATGTTTAAAAAATACCTCACATTTGCTTTAAAGTTTTTAAAAATTTTTTATGAATTTTTTCTTCTCAGATGGGTAATGTGCCCACATTACAAGATGTAAGGAAGACATGTTGCATCTCATACATGAAAACCCAGTCAATGGGCTTACGAACTACAAAAGGACCTGCTTTAACGTTTTGTGTTTTTTCTTTTTGGCTCGGTGCCTGCGGCTCAAGTGGCTAAGGCGCCGGTGGCAGGTTCAAATCCAGCCTGGGCCTGCCAAAACAACAATGACGGTTGCAATAAAAAAATAGTTGGGCATTGTGGTGGGTGCCTGTGGTCCCAGCTACCTGGGAGGCTGAGGCAGGGGACTCGCTTGAGCCCAGGAGTTGGAGGTTGCTGTGAGCTGTGATGCCATAACACTCTACCCAGGGGGATAGCTTGAGGCTCTGTCTCAAAAAAAAAAAAAAAAGTTTTCAGTTTTTTTTGTTTGTTTTTTGAGACAGAATCTCAAGCTGTTGCCCTGGGTAGAGTGCCGTGGCATGATATCTCACAGCAACCTCCAACTCTTGGGCTCAAGCAATCCTCTTGCCAGTTTTTCTGTTTTTAGTAGATATAGGGTCTCACTTTACTCAGGCTAGTCTCGAACTCCTGAACTCAGGCAATCCATGTGCCTCAGCCTTCCAGACTGCTAGAATTACAGGTGTGAGCCACTGCCCCAGACCTAAGGTTTTGTGGGCATGTTTGTGTGTTTTAGAGGCAGTGTCTCCAGGATGGAGTGTAGTGGCCCAATCCCAGCTCAATGTAACCTTGAATTCCTGGGCTCAAGTGATCCTCCTGTCTCAGCATCTTGAGTAGCTGAGACTACACTGGTAAGGTGACAGATGTCCCACTTTTGGCAGGACAGTCCCAATTTTTAACAATTTGTCCTGTGACCTGCAGCGTTTTTAAAGAGTCCTGATTTTTGGAAAGAATGAACAACAAGCTAGGGAATGGCAGGAGAACGGGAAGGGAATGTACGGTTTCGGCTGCCATATAGCTATTTCACCAGGATATGAGTTTTATATTATTTTTGTTAATTTTATAATGTTAAACTTTAATAATAAGAAATAATTTCTGAGAACTGACTATTGAGAACTACTTATCAAAGTTAACATCATTGGCTCGGCGCCTGTGGCTCAAGTGGCTAAGGCGCCAGCCACATACACACTAAGGTGGTGGGTTCGAATCCAGCCCAGCCTGCCAAACAACAATGATGGTTGCAATCAAAAAATAGCCAGGCGTTGTGGCGGGTGCCTGTAGTCCCAGCTACTTGGGGGGCTGAGGCAGGAGACTCGCTTGAGCCCAGG